ACTTGCTAAGCAAGAGCTTTGCCGCTGAGCTACATCCCAGCCCTGTGTTCTTGTTTTTTTGTTTTTTTTTTTAATGCCAGTTTTGTAGTTTGAACTGAGTACCTTGGTTGGCATTGTCCAAGACTGGTGCTTTACTACTTGAACCGCCGCTCTGCTTCTGGTTTTTTGTTTTTTTTTGGCTGATTGTAGGGCTTGAACTCTGGGCCTGGTCACTGTCCATGAGCTCTTCAGCTCAAGGAGAATGCTCTACCACTTGAGCCACAGCGCCACTTTCCAGTTTTTCTGGTGGTTCATTGGAGATAAGAGTCTCATGGACTTTCCTGCCTGGGCTGGCCTTGAACCATGATCCTCAGATCTCAGCCTCCTGAGTAGCTGGGAGTTCTTCCAGAGCTGGGAAGGAAGGGGACATCTGGGTGCCCCAGGTTGCTTGTCTGTGCAGCCCTCCTCTCCCCTCACATCGCCCCAATCTCTCCAGGGGTGCGGGTCACCAGCACAGGGAGACCAGGCCATGGATCCCGCTTCATGGAGGACACAGCAGCGGAGAAATTGGTGGGTGGGGAATGTGGGGGTACCCCAGAGGAGGGGGTGTTCAAGAGGTCCTGGGCCTCGCTTACATCTTCCCCTCACACCCCTTCTAGCACAAGGTTGTGAGTTCTTTCCTGGCATTCCGGGAGAAGGAAAGGCAGCGGTAAGACGGCCCCCCCAGGAAGGGGCTGGAGGTGGGGGTGGTGGCTGTGGAAGCTGAACTTCCTTCTTTATTTTTGTTGGTCGTGGGGCTTGAACTCTGGGCCTGGGCGCTGTCCCTCAGCTCTTCAGCTCAAGGCGAGCGCTCTACCACTTGAGCCACAAGCGCCACTTCTGGTTTTCTGGTGGTTCATTGGAGAGCAGAGTCTCCCGGACTTTCCTGCCCAGGCTGGCCTTGAACCATGATCCTCAGATCTCAGTCTCCTGAGTAGCTAGGATCCCAGGTGTGAGTCACCGGTGGCCGGCTGAATCCCATTCTTTTATCTGCTGCTCCCCACTGCAGGCTGCAGTCCAACCCTCACCTGAAAGAGGGGGCGGTGACTTGCGTGAACCTGACTAAGCTGGAGGGGGGCGTGGCCTATAACGTGGTACCTGCCACCATGAGCGCCTGCTTCGACATCCGTGTGGCTCCGGATGTGGACCTCAAGGTACCACTTCCAGCTGGGGCTGGGGAGGGGGCGGGCAGGAAGGAGCAGTCTGGGGCCTGGGGCCTGTCTTGCTCTAAGGGTTCCAGGAAAGCCTGGGGAGGGGCAGGCTTATCTCTTTTTGTTGTTGGTCCTGGCAAGATTTGAACTCAGAGCCCAGGCACTGTCCCTGCGCTCTTCAGCTCAAGGCTAGCGCTCTACTACTTGAGCCACAGGGCGACTTCTGGCTTTTTCTGCTTCTGTGGTTGCTGAGGAATCGAACCCAGGGCCTCATGCATGCAAGGCAAGCGCTCTACCACTGAGCCACCTTCCCAGCCTCTTAACTCATCTCTTTTTTTAGGCTTTTGAGAAGCAGCTACAGAGCTGGTGCCAGGAGGCTGGTGAGGGGGTCACTTTCGAGTTTTCCCAGGTATGGACTTGGACCTCTGATGGCCAGAGGTGTGACATGTTGGGAGAGTTTGGTGTATCTGCATACATCCAGGTTTTCTTTAGCTTTGATAGACATTAGATGCAACCAATCAACGGTCATTAGCTGTGGAGACCAAGAGGATGCTGGGGAATGAATGCAGTTAAGGAGTAAAATTAGGCTCAGGACTCACCTGCATGAACACTAGAGCAGGAAGTGGAGAGACATATTAAATATTGAGATAATTACTTTTTTTTTTTTTTTTTTTTGCCGGTCTTGGGGCTTGAACTCGGGGCCTGGGAAGTGTCCCTGAGCTGCTTTCTCCCTATCGAGTTCAGGCTGCTTTCTCAATTCTCCTGCTGGGTGTTTCCTGAAGGCTGGCATTACTGGAGGGAACCACCATACCTGGCTATGTGATATTACTTAGATATGAGTTATACACACAGGAAAGAATGGGTCTTTGTAATGTGAGCGCATGTAATCAGGTAATCCCACTACCGATCTAAGAGGCCTGAGGAGCAATCTTAAAGCAAGGGTGCTCGGGGTAGGAGGGAAATAGGTCGGTGGGCTTGTAGGCGCCCTGGCTACCTGGATGTCTGATGCAGGGGTGGGTGGGGTGTATGAGAAATACAGGACAAAAGAACCCCTTGTGTCCTGAGCCTGTCATTCTTTGCCTCCCCCAGAAATGGACCCAGCCCCGAGTGACACCCACTGATAGCTCAGACCCCTGGTGGGCAGCCTTCAGTGGGGTCTTCAAGGACCTGTGAGTGTGAACAGCCCTTCTCCTGTAGCCCAGCCACCCCCCCCCACTTTGCTCTCCCCTCTTCACTAACTGCTTCTGATTCCCCTGCAGGAATCTCACTCTGGAGCCCGAGATCTTTCCAGCTGCCACTGACAGCCGCTACATCCGGGCGGTGAGCTGTGGGCGGGGCGGTGAGCCGTGGGCGGGGCTGTGGGCCGTGGGCGGGGCGGTGGGCGGGCTTTTCTCAGCTGTCACTTTTTTTTGTTGGTCCTGGGGCTTGAACTCTGGGCCTGGGCTCTGTCCCTGAGCTCCTTAGCTCAAGGCTAGCGCTCTGCCATTTGAGCCACAGCGCCACTTCCTCTTTTCGTGGTGATTAATTAGAGATGAGTCTCACAGACTTTGCTGCCCCGGCTGGCTTTGAACCTTGATCCTCAGATCTCAGCCTCCAGTGTAGCTAGGAAGACAGGTGTGAACCACCAGCACCAGCTCGTTTGTTTTTGCTGGTTAATTGAACAGAAGAATCTCTTGGGGCTGGGAAGGTGGCTCAGTGGTAGAGCGCTTGCCTTGCATGCATGAGGCCCTGGGTTCGATTCCTCAGCACCACATAAGCAGAAAAAGCCAGAAGTGGCGCTGTGGCTCAAGTGGTAGAGCGCTAGCCTTGAGCTGAAGAGCTGAGGGACAGCGCCCAGGCCCAGAGTTCAGGCCTCATGACCGACAACAACAAAACACCTCTTGAGCAGAGCACTGGTGGCTCACACCTGTCATCCTAGCTACTCAGAAGGCTGAGATCTGAGGATCTGTTTGAAGTCAACCCAGGTAGGAAAGTTCATGAGATTCTTCTAATGAACTACTCAGAAAAGGCTGGAAATGGCACTGTGGCCTAAGTGGTAGAGTGCTAGTCAAGCAAAAGCAAGAGCAGCACCCAGGCCCTGATTTCAAGCCCCAGGACTGGCAGAGAGAACAGAATAGAACCAGGCGCTGGTGGCTCACGCCTATCATCCTAGCTACTCAGGAGGCTGAGATCTGAGGATCACAGTTCAAAGCCAACCTGAGCAGGAAAGCCCGTGAGACCCTTCCATCTCCAACAAACAACTAGAAAACTGGAAGTGGCGCTGTGGCTCAAATGCTACAGCGCTAACCTTCAGTTGAAGAGCACAGGGACAGGGCCCAGGCCCAGAGTTCAAGCCCCACTATTTTTAACTATCTAGTTAAAAAAAAAAGAAATCTCTTGGATTTGTTTGCCTGGGCTGGCTTGGAACTGCAGTCCTCAGATCTCCGCCTCCCGAGTAGCAAAGGATGACCAGTGTGAGCGCCGACGCCCGGCTTGGTGGCAGCTTTTCTGTCTTTGCAGGTGGGGATCCCAGCTCTGGGCTTCTCCCCCATGAACCACACCCCTGTGCTGCTGCATGACCACGATGAACGCCTCCACGAAGCCGTGTTCCTCCGCGGGATTGACATCTACACACGCCTGCTGCCTGCCCTGGCCAGCGTGCCTGCCCTGGCCAGCGTGCCTGCCCTGCCCAAGGGCAGCTGAGCCGCAGGCTCCCTCCCTGTGCCCCTGGAGCTTCCATGCAGCCAGCAGTGCCAGCATCTCCTCTTCCCTCCGCCCACTAATAAAGCCTGTGAGGGTAGGGATACTTCAGCGTTCCCATTAACTACAGACACTGAGGGCAGGGGGCATGCATGGCTCAAGTGGTAGAGAACCTGCCTGCTAGCAAGCTCAAGGCCCTGTGTTCAAATTCAACACACACACAGCCAGGTACCGGTGGCTCACGCCTGTCATCCTAGCTACTCAGGAGGCTGAGATCTGAGGATCGCGGTTCAAAACCAGCCCAGGCAGGAAGTCCCGTGAGACTCTCATCTCCAATGAACTCCCAGAAAACCGGAAGTTGGGTGCTGTAGGCTCAAGTGGTACAGCACTAGCCTTAAGCTTAAGAACTGAGGGACAGTGCCCAGGCCCAGAGTTCAAGCCCTAAGACAGAAAGAAAAAAAAAAAAAATCAAAAACCAAACCAGCCGATTAAGCACCTTGGGGATCCTGGGTCAAACTCAGAAGGCTCTGAGATGCGATCACTGCTTTAAGAGCAGAGACCTAACAGTTGGGCTGTAGTTGTGTCAGCCCTCCACGGGTTCGGGGTTGATGTGTTAAAAAGTGTTACAACCATCCTGGTTCCGACCACTTTCACCCAGCAAGTGGCTCACCACGCGTTCGAAATTACAGGCATGGGCATCAAGGAGTCAGGCTGGTAGCTGATGCCTGAAATCCCAGTTACTCAGGAGGCTGAGATCAGAGAGTGGCTGCCTGAAGCCAGCCTGGGCAGGAGAGTCGGGGAAAGTCAGGGAGACATCTCCAACGAACCACCAGAAAACCGGAAGTGATGCTGGGTGGCTCAAAGTGCTAAGAGCGCTAGCCTTGAGCAAGAGCTGGGAGACAATGCTCAGGCTGCTGGCATCATAGCTCCTGGTCAGTCTCCAAAAGGCCCAAGGTTGGACTGGGGCTTGTCTTCTGACAGGAAGCCTCTGCAAACACCTTGCCCACGGCAAAGGCAGAAGCGGGCCTAGTCATGGTGTCGCAGGTGCTGGCCAGTACCCCAGGGACGGCAGAGGCCGCCTCTCAGGACACTTGCCAGGTTGTGACGGACACCCCAACACCCCACCCTAGGCATGGGACAACAGGCATGGGCTACCAGAGCCTGCCTCAGGTTTATTGGTAGAAATGACAGAGGCCACCGGCCCACCCTGAAGATGGTGGCCAGGGAGCCACAGCAGTCCATCCGTGCTCAGGCTGGCAGACAAGAGGTCTTCATTGTGGGGCCTTCCCGGGGCCCTGGGCTCCTTTGGAGGCTGGAGCCTGGGCACCCTTGGGAGCTGCAGCCTGAGCACCCTTGGGAGCCGCAGCCTGGGCACTTTTGGGGGCCATAGCCTGGGCACCCTTAGGGGCTGTAGCCTGGGCACCCTTAGGGGCTGCGGCCTGGGCCTGAGCTGGAGTGGTGGCTGAAGCCTGGGCCTTGGTTTGTGCCTTGGCCTTGGCTTGTGCCTTGGCCTGCAACTTGGCCTTTGCTTTGGCTTTGGCCTTGGCCTTGGCCTCGGCCTGGGCCTTAGCCTGAGGCTGGGCCTGCGCCTGCGCCCTGGCCTTTGGGGTGGTGAGCCTGCGGCCCTTGGCGATGTAGGCCCGAATGCGCTTGCCCAGCTTGGGGTGGGCGATGTAGGCGAGTCGCTGGAGCTTGCGGGTGGCCTGCTCGGGCAGCTTGCGTTTGTTGTTCACTGCTTTGGGTTTTACCAGGGTCTTGATGGCCTCGGCCCGCGCGCTCATGGCCTTGGCGTTGTTCGCCTGCATCTTCTTAAAGCCCTTCTTGTTGTGCTTCTTGGCAAAACGCATGTTCCTCAGGAACTTGGGGTCCACCTGAAGAGCAGGAAGGGATTAAGTGACGAGCAAAAAGGCTCCTGAAGCCATCCCTTCCCCCTAAGTCACTGGCATTCTACCAACAGCAGAGCCGAGTGCTGGTGGCTCACACCTATAATCCTAGCTACTTGGGAGGTTGAGATCTGGGGATAGAGGTTTGAAGCCAGCCTGAGCAGAAGTCTCCATGAGACTCTATCTCCAGTTAACCACTCAAACCCAGAAGTGGGTAGAGTGCCAGCCTGGAGCACAAAGAGGCTCAGGGAATCACACACCCAGGCCTGAATGCAAGCACCACAACTGGTCAAAAAACAAAGCCAGATGCTGGTGGCTCACGCCTGTCATCCTAGCTACTCAGGAGGCTGAGATCTGAGGATCATGGTTCAAAGCCAGCCGGGGCAGGAACGTCTGTGAGACCCATCTCCAATGAACCACCAGGAAAACAGACGGGGCTGTGGCTCAAGTGGTAGAGTGCTCACATTGAGCTGAAGAGCTGAGGGACAGCGCCCAGAGTTCAAGCATCATTACCAAGAAAATAAACAAAAAAGCCAGCAGCCAATGGCTAATGTCCATAATCCTAGCTACTCAGGAGGCTGAGATCTGAGGATCATAGTTCAAAGCCAGCCAGGGCAGTAAACTCTGAGACTCAGATTGCCAATAAACTACTCAAAAGCCAGAGGTGGCACTGTGGCTTAAGTGGAAGAGGGCTTGTCTTGAGCAGAAAAAAAAAGAGGAAGAGTACAAAGCTGAATTCAAGCCCCTAGTACCAGCACAACCAAAACAGCACACAAGCTTACATCTAACTGCCCAACCCTGGAAAATTATTTCCAGAGACACACCAGCATGAACCCCAGTAAGCCAACATTCCACTTGGCTAAGTGGGGTACGGACTACTTTCAGAGTCTCTGGCTCTGGTAGGGTTGCATGTGAATGTCCTACAGCAAGTCAGGTGAATAGTTGGTACTCTGAAATCTTTCAGGGCTGCCATCTGAGGATTGCAGCTTGAAGCCAGCCCAGGGCAGGTAAGTCTGTGAGACTCTTATCTCCAATGAGCCATCATGATGAAAGCTGTAAGCAGAAGAGTGGCCCAGGGGTAGAAAAAGCTCAAGGACAGCACCCAGGCCCTGAGTTCAAGGCCCAGGACTGACAGAACAAAATAAACCCCAAACCCAAGCAACTATGTATGCTTTCCCTCTGGGCTGTGGCGAAGCAAGGAAGGTGGTAATCTGGTCATACCACAGGTTGGGGGGGAAAAAACCCCAAGGAAAACTTTGCTGCGAGTTTGGCAGCATGGAGAAAGAAAACCATGGGCTTTGGGAGACCAAATTAAGTCATGAAGTAGTTAACAGCATTCAGGCGGACTGGGGGGAGGGGGAGGAAGACGATGACACTGAAGATTCTGGATAGGAAGAAGTGACATTGAGCAAGATGCGTTCCCTCCACAATCTAACTTTTGAGTCAAAAGTCCTTTGTACAACTTAAAGAAAACAAACCCAGGCTCTAGAGGCACACACTGGTAATCCTACTCAGGAGGCTGAGATCGAAGAATTACAGCTTAAAGCTGGTCCAGGGAAGGAAAGTCTGTGAGACTCTCACCACCAATAAACTACTCAGAAAACAACAGAAATGGTCCTGTGGCTCAAATGGTAGAGTGCTGGCCTTGAGAAAAAAGAAACTCACTGATAGTACTCAAGCCCCGAGGTTCAAACCCGAGGATGCTAAAAAATAAAATTAAAATTCGACAACGCACCTTAGACCAAAGATCTTTTTTTTTTTTTTTTTTGGTCATGGGGCCTGAACTCTGGGCCTGGGCGCTGTCCCTCAGCTCTTCAGCTAAAGGCTAGCACTCTACCACTTGAGCCACAGCGCCACTCCCGGCTTTTTCTGCTTATGTGGTGCTGAGGAATCGAACCCAGGGCCTCAGGCATGCAAGGCAAGCGCTCTACCACTGAGCCACCTTCCCAGCCCCAGCCCCAGGATCATTTTTATGGTTTAGCCAGCACACTTACCCCCTTCAGCGATTCGTATCTCTGTGATCTGGGTTTCTTGATACCATTTCTGTGCCATTTCCGGGCTGTGGAAAGGGAAAATAGGAATTAACTTATTGAAGAAAACAAAACCCACAAATAACTACATCCTCTAATAAGCACCCCATACACACCCGGGTAAATCAACCATTTACATCCCCGCCTGGCTGCCTGGGAGCTGAGAAACATCGAAGGCAAAAACACTGTGAGCTTCTTAATTAGATCCTCATCCCCCCCCCCCCCCACCCCCATTACAGCTTCAAGACAATGGCCAAAAAGAAAATGGCCAAGCTGAGTCGCCGAGGGCTCACACTTATAAACCCTAGCTACTTAGGAGGCTTGAGAACTGAGGATCAGAGGTTCGAAGCCAGCCTGGACGGTGTGGAGCTGTACGGTTGAGGGTAGACGGCTAGCCTGGAGCCAAAAGAAAATTCAGGGACGGCATATTGAGGCCCTGAGTTCAAGCCCCAGGACTGGGGGTGGGGGTGTCTAAGAAAGAAAAAGCAATAGGAGGGGAATGTGTCCACTTCTGCACTAGTCCGATGCCCATCACTCAATCTTCTCCAGGCAGAGGGGTGCAAGGTGGGCCCTAAACACACAGACACACAGATACACACACACAACTTACACTGGTTGTGCGTGGTGTGGTTCTTGGACTTAGCCATGTCTGAACCTGCAAGACAAGAAGTGTAAGACGAGGGTTGAGGGGTGCTGGAAAGGCCCGGGCTACCTCTGATGACACCCCCACCCCACCCCTCACCCCCCCAGATCCGGTGGTTATCCAGGCCAGAGGCCTAAATACACAGATCTGCCATCTGCACCGGCCATCACTGCCCAGGCAATGACTGAACGAACCACCCCCCCATCCCCGTCACGTCTGGCTTCCGCAGCGCCCCCAACGCCCCACAGCCGGCTGCTCTGGCTTCCCCGAGGCCGCAGGCCCACGCTTCGTGTCCCGCCACAGCCCACGCGGGGAGGATGGCATCGGATACCACGCGCGCAAACACTCACCGCCACCCCGCGGGAGCCGACGCGCCTGGAGCCGGAAAAGGAAGGGAAAGGCGGCAGTGCAGCATGGGAAATACGGTCGATGACACCGGAAGGTGCAACTGGAAAAGGCTTCCCTCGGAACCGCGAAGAAAGGTTCCTAGAAGAGTCTCATCGACTTTCCTATCTAGGTTGGCTTTGAACCTTTGATCCTCACAGATCTCAGCCGCTCGCATAGCTAGGATGACAGATAGGAGTCACCAGTACCAGGCTTCTGGGTTGTTTTGTTTGGGGGGGAGGTTGTTTTTGTTTTTTTGGTGGTTGTAGGACTTGAACTCAGGGCCTGGGTGCTATCCCTGAGCTCTTCTTTGCTCAAGGCTAATGCTCTACCTCTTTGAACCATGGCTCTACTTCCAATTTTCTGGTGGTTCATTGAAGATCAGAGTCTCTCACTGCGGCTGGGAATGTGGCTTAGTGGCGGAGTGCTTGCCTAGCATGCATGAAGCCCGGGGTTTGATTCCCCAGTACCACATACACAGGAAAAGCCAGAAGTGGCCCTGTGGCTCAAGTGGTAGAGTGCTAGCCTTGAGCCAAAGAAGCTCAGGGACAACACCCAGACCCTGAGTTCAAACCCCAGGACTGACACACACAAAATATAAGTCTCATGGATGCCCCTGCCCAGGCTGGCTTTGAACCACAAATCTCAGGTCTCTGCCTACTGAGTAGAGAGGATTACAGGTGTGAGCCTTGAGTACTCAGTTTTTTGTTTTTATTTTTGTTTTTTTCCAGTCCCGAGGCTTGAATTCGGCCTGGGTACTGTCCCTGAGCTCTTTTTGCTCAAGGCTAGCACTCTACCACTTGAACTACAATGCCATTTCTGGAATTTTCTGTGTATGTGGTACTGAGGAGTCGAACCCAGGGCTTCATGCACGCTAGGCCAGCATTCTACCACTAAGCTACCTTCCCAGCCCCCACTTTTGATGTTTCTTGAAACAGGGTTTTATGTATCCCAGTCAGGCCTTACAACTACCAGTCTCAGCCTCCCCAGGGCCGGGATTACAGGGGTAAGCAACCATTCCGGTTTGCCCTCACCCCTTCCACAGCCACCTCTTCTCGTCTATCTTCTGTTCCTCTAGTACCTGGATCACTGAGCTATGTGTCATTAAATCAAGATCCCTTTCACGGTCTTGTATCCCTGCCACCATGAAGCATGGCTGTAATCCTAGCTACCCAGGAGGCTGAGATCTGAGGATCACAGTTCAAAGCCAGCCCCAGCAAGAAAGCCTGTGAGACTCTTATCTCCAATAAACCACTCAGAAAACCAGAAATGGCACTGTGGCTCAAGTAGTAGAGCAAAAAACTCGAGAGAGAATTCAGTGCCCTGAGTTCAAGCCCTATTACCAGCACTAAAAAAAAAGATACAAGGCTGGGAAGGTGGCTCAGTGGTGAGAGTGCTTGCCTTGTGTGCATGAGGCCCTGGGTTTGATTCCTTAGTGCCACAGAAGCAGGAAAAGCCAGAAGTGGCGCTGTGGCTCAAGTGGTAGAGCGCTCGCCTTGAGCTGAAGAGCTGAGGGACAGCGCCAAGGCCCTGAGTTCAAGACCCACGACCAACCAAGAAAAAAAGAAAGAAAGATACAGAGAAAGAAAAGGAAGGAAGGAGGGAAAGAAGGAAGGATGATAGAGACAAAGAAAGAGAGAGGGAAAAAAAGGAGAACTCCTTCCAAGAGTTCACAGAGTTAGTGAGCTCTGAAACCTGGCATTTACAAGCAGTACTTACATAACTGAGTTTGTGGTTGCAAAAGGGACTAGAGGGCTGGAAAAAATTAATTCTTTTTTTTTGGGGGGGGGGGGGAAACAGGTGGGAGGTACTAGGAGTTGAGCCCAGAGTCTTGTAAGTACTAGGTAAGCATTATACCACTGAGTTAGATCACCAAACAACCTTCTTCCCTCCAATTAGGATCTCACTAAGTTGCCCAGGCTAGCCTTGAACTTACAATCCTCCTGTCTCTGCCACCTTCTATACCTGGAATTACAGGTATGCGCCATGGCTGGAAAATAAAAACCCTTGAATTCCCTTCCAAGAGTCTAGGATTCAAAGCTTCTGGGAGAAGAAAATGTGTCCAGAGCAGTGTGCGGTGCCAAAAATGGAGCTGGGGCTCAAGATCTGTCTGTTCCAACAGTGGTTGAACGGGAAAGGGCAGCCCCTAGCTCAGTCACGAAGCCAATCCAGCCCTCTAGCCCCAGACATCTGACTTTTCCCTCTTGGGAGAGGAAATGCAGTAGCCAGAGCTGGGAAGGATCTCCTGGGTCCACCAGGGGGCAGCATGGGACCACAGACAGACTCCTGAAGCTACAGAGGGCACACAAGTCACTCTCCCCCCCCCCCCCACTTTATGTCTTCCAGATTCATTCCCAGTGGGATCTCCATGATTGATCTGGTCAGCCTGGCATCTGAGCTCCTGAGTGGTACTGTAGTAAGATGTCTTCCTTCAGAGAAAGTGTCTGTGGGAAGCTGGGCACCAGTAACTCAACACCTGTCATCCTAGCTACTCAGGAGGCTGAGATCTGAGGATCATGGCTCAAAGCCAGCCTATTCAGGAAAGTCCGTGAGACTCTCATCTCCAATAAACCACTAGAAAACCAGAAGTGGCGCTGTGGCTCAAAGTGGTAGAGCGCTAGTCTTGAGTTGAAGAGCTGAGCTGACAGCGCCCAGGTCTAGAGTTCAAACTCCACGCCCGACGCGTTCCCCCTTACCCCCCAAATTCTGATTGCCAAAAGCTGGTATCCATGGCTTATGCCTTGTGCTTATAATCCTAGCTACTCAGGACCCTGAGATCTGAGGATGAAGGTTCAAAGCCAGCCAGGGAGACAAATCTAGGCGACTCTGCTCTCCATCCAATGAACCACCAGAAAGCCAGAAGTGGAGGTGCGGCTCCATTACTAGATCACCAGCCTTGAGTGGAAAAAGCCAAGCAAGAGTCCAAGGCCCTGAGTTCAAGTCCCAGTAGGTTTGCAAAAATCCTCATTCAGCTTCAGTGTTCTCACAGAGAACATAGAGCAGAAAAGACACAAACCCCCAGCTTCACATGGTGTCCGTGGCCTACAGTGAAGCCTGTAACTGTGTCCAGGCCCTGCCTCTCCTCTGATCCATGGCTGACTTGCAGTACTGGGACTGCCACGGGCTCACGCCTGTCATCCTAGCTACTCAGGAGGCTGAGATCTGAGGATCGCGGTTCAAAGCCAGCCTGGGCCAGGAAAGTCCATGAGACTCTGATCTCCAGTAAACCACTCAGAAAACCGAAGGTGGCGCTGTGGCTCAAGTGGTAGAGTGCTGCTCCCCTTGGGCTGAAGAGCTGAGGGATAGCGCCCAGGCCCTGAGTTCAAGTCCCACCACTGACCAAAATAAAAAACTGAGAGAGAAGGGAAAGAATTAGGTGGGCAAGAAAGAGGGCCCCCCAAAATCCCTGTAACTCCCCGCTCCCCACCCCTTCCCAGCTACAAAGTAAGGCTAAGGGGAACCTTTAAAAGCAAATTAACAAAGAGCCTGTGATCAGGAAGAATGAAGCAGAGGCTTGAGAAGGATGGCCCTCTCCCTTCCCTCCCCAGCAGCCTCTTCTGGCCCCAACAGGCAGTTGCCTTGGCAACCTCAATCCCCCTTCCGGTCCCCCCCCCACACTGCTCTCCTTTAACCCTTTCCTGCCCGGGCTGCCCCTTGAGCCTGAACCCTTCCCAGGCCCACACTATAGAGACGGAGACGGAGAGGAGGTGAACAGTTGGGGAGGGGGGGGGCGGGCTGCTGAATCCTTGGCTGAATCCCAGAGCTCCCCCTTTCTGGAAATCTAGATGAAGGGGAAAGATGGGTGAGCTTTGAAAGGATTCCTCTGAATGAACAAGGAAGGGGGTGATCCTCTTCCAGGTCCCAAGTTTCCAAGGAGATAGGCTGTGACCCCCCATACACACACGCACTCCTACCCACCCATAAGAACCCTGGAATAAGACTTGAAAGTCATCTTGTTTCTCATTACCTTCCCAAGTGGATGAGAAGGGAAACTGAGGACTGGTAAGACAAAGGGCAAGATCAAGGGCAAGCCGGGCACTGGTGGCTCACGCCTGTCATCCTAGCTGCTCAGGAGGCTGAGATCTGGGGATCGCAGTTCAAAGCCAGCCTGGGCAGGAAAGTCCCTGAGACTCTGATCTCCAATGAGCCACCAGAAAACCGGAAGTGGTGCTGTGGCTCAAGCGGTAGAGCGCTGGCCTTGAGCTGAAGAGCTGAGGGACGGTGCCCAGGCCCAGAGTTCAAGTCCCAAAGGCATCCAAGCAGGGGACAGATAGATAGACTGGTCATGAGAGTCACAGGAGGTCTGCCGCGACTCCTTTCTGGGTTCTGGGGGAGCTCTTGCCCTGTCTTTGTTTGTATTGCTTTGCTTTGCCAGTCCCGGGACTCGAACTCGGGACCTGGGCGCTGTCCCTGATTGGTCGAGCACTCTACCACTTGAGCCACCGCGCCACTTCCAGTTCTCGAGTGGTTCATGGGAGATGAGAGTCTCATAGAGTTTCCTGCCCAGGCTGGCTTTGAACCACGATCCTCAGATCTCAGCCTCCCCCTGAGTAGCTAGGATGACAGGAGTAGCAGGCTCTGATTCATGAGAAGCAGCAGTGAGGGTTACCTGGAGACCCTCCTCTCCCCGCTCCCCTCATTCTAATCCCACACCAGCACCCCAGGACCAACCAGCCGGGCAGGGAGCGGCTTCTCCTCCCCCTCTGCCTGTCTGGATACCCACTGCCAGCCTGGCACCAAGCCCTCTCCTGCCTCCTGGTTTTAATCGATTGCTTTCCACCAAGGCGCGGGGGTGGCTTCCCCTTCCTTGAATCTCGGGGCTAAAAATAACTGGAATTACTGAGCTCTCCGGGGCCTGCCAGCCCTAGCACAGAGGCCTAGGTGGGGGTGGGAATGTGGGGGGGGGACGGTGCGGGGGTGGCACCCCAGGAAAAGTGGCATCAGCCAGAAGTGGGGAGATCCCTGAGAGGAAATGGAGCCGATGTGTGGGTTGGCAGGTGGGAAGGGGATGTCGTTAGTGGAAAGGAAGTTTGGTCCTTTCTTCCCCTCCACACCCCCTCCCCCATTTATTTTTAGATTTCCAGGGCATTCTGGATGGTTCTAGAAACAGGGCTGAGGGGTGGGGGTCGGGGGACAGGATAGCCCCTTAGATCTCTGCTCATCCATCACTAAGGGGACCAACAGAAAGAGGTACAAAAGGGACGGGGGGGGGGGGGGTCCAGACAGCACTTCCGGCTTTTTTTGCGTGTGTGGTGCTGAGGAATCGAACCCAGGGCCTCATGCATGCATGGCAAGCGCTCTACCACTGAGCCACCTTCCCAGCCCTGAAACTTTCTTGAAAGTAGAAAAGCAGGGAAGTAGTTAGTCTGGGAAATTTTAGACTAGAGATGATGATGTACTCCATTCACAAATACATTTGTGGCTGGGCACCGGTGGCTCACGCCTGTCATCCTAGCTACTCAGGAGGCTGAGATCTGAGGATCGCAGTTCAAAGCCAGCCTGGGCCAGGAAGGTCCATGAGACTCGTATCTCCAATAAACCACTCAGAAAACCAGAAGTGGTGCTGTGGCTCAAGAGGTAGAACGCTGGCCTTGAGCTGAAGAGCTGAGGGACAGCGCCCAGGCCTTGACACGCCGGGCTGGAGCTCAGGCAGAATGGAATCTCAGGGCAACCAGGCCCCACTGGCCCAGGACCTTGTAGACTGTGGGGCACTGTCCCCACCGAAGCCAAGCTCGTGTTACAATCTTTCAGGAACAGCCTGTGCTTGAGGGAGCTATGAACTAAGAGCCAAGGAGGCGTTGACCACCCTGGCGCTACCTCCTGCAAAGCAAGACGTGTGAATGCTCACATTCAAAGGCTCCCAGTCAAGCCAAGGGCTGGGCCCAGGAGAGTTTCTGGGCAGCTGGCTCCAGGCTTAGCGGTGGGGAGGAGAGGGCAGGTTTGGCATGGACAAGGAACACCTAAAAAAAAAAAAAAAGATGGCAGGGAGGAGAGGGAGGCTGGGAAGGTGGCTCAGTGGTAGAGTGCTTGCCTCGCATGCATGAGGCCCTGGGTTCGATTCCTCAGCACCCCATAAGCAGAAAAAGCCAGAAGTGGCGCTGTGGCTCAAGAGGTAGAGCGCTCGCCTTGAGCTGAAGAGCTGAGGGACAGCGCCCAGGCCCAGAGTTCAAGCCCCATGATCGACAAAAAACAAACAAACAGACATGATGCTGTGGCTCAAGTGGTAGAATGCTAGCCTTGAACACAAAGAGGCTCAGAGACAGGGCCCAGGCCCCTGAGTTCAAACTCCACAAAAGCTAAAAGACAGTGCCCAGGCTTTGGGTTCAAACCTCAGTACTGGCATTTTTCCATCCATGCATCCACCCATCCATTCATCCATCCATCCATCCATCCATCCATCCATCCATCCATCTATCCATCCATCCATCCTCCCTTCCCATCCATTGAATAAGCATTGACAGAACCTTCCCTCTGTGCGTTAACCATTAAAAGAGGCTGACACAGAGCCAGGCCAGGGCCTGCCCTTGGAGATCACGGGTGTGAGCATGTGGTCAACAGAACTGGTGGGGATGGTATCTCTAATAGCAGTGCCCCGGAAGTGATCAGGACGCCATCCGAGTCACTCAATAATAATAATACAGCGAGGCAGCTGATAGTCAGAACTTATGGATAGGGTATACGCATGCGTGTGTGTATACAGGTGTTTGTGTACACACGTGTGTGAGTGTGTGTCACAGAGTTCCAACACTCTAGGGAGCAGTTGGACAAACCCTAAAGGCGCTGCCATTTTTATAATAATGGCCACATGGCAAAGTCATGTGTTGGGTGGGAAATCTCTGGGACCTGAGCAGTTAGGAGGCCTGGGAATTGACAGAGGAAAGGAGGTTCATGGCTGGACTTCTCCCTGGCTCCTCCAAGCTCCCAGCCTCCAGCTACATTTAATCTAAGAGATTCCAGCATCTAGCCAGGGATGAGGACCTTTTGATTCTTCCAAAAGCCATTTGGGATATGTTACAGCCTCATTCATGGGCTGTATGAAATGATCAATGGCTGCCAGGTGCTGGTGGCTCACACCAGTCATCCCAGCTACTCAGGAGGCTGAGATCTGAGGATCGTGGTTCAAAGCCAGCCAGGGCAAGAAAGCCTGTTGAGACTTTTTTTTGGTCAGTCGTGGGGCTTGAACTCTAGGCCTGGGCGCTGTCTCTGAGCTCTTCAGCTCAAGGTGAGTGCTCTACCCCTTGAGCCACAGTGCCACCTTCTGGTCTTTTTCTGTTTATATGGTGCTGAGGAATCAAACCCAGGGCCTCATGCATGCGAGGCAAGCACTCTACCGCTGAGCCACCTTCCCAGCCCACCACTGAGACTCTTATCTCCAGTTAACCAGCAAAAAGCCAGAAGTGTATGCATGGCTTAAGTGGTAGAGTGCTAGCCTTGAGCAAAACAATCTAAGGGACAGCACCCAGGTCCTGAGTTCAAGTCCTGGTACTGGCACATGCACGCACACCACACACACACACACACACACTCAAAACACACACAGATATAGGCAGTACAGCTTGGGACAAACCCTCCAGAGGCCACCCTAGAGTTGAACCTAGGGTCCAGGATTGGCATGACTCTGTGTGTGTGTGTGTGTGTGTGTGTGTGTGTGTGTGCGCGCCGCGCGTGCGCGTAAGGGCTTAGAGCCTAAAAAGGGAGATAGACAGCTGGGAAGGTGGCTCAGTGGTAGAGCACTTGCCTTGCATGCATGAGGCCCTGGGTTCGATTTCTCAGCACCACATAAATAGAAAAAGCCGGAAGTGGCGCTGTGGCTCAAGTGGTAGAGCGTTTGCCATGAGCTGAAGAGCTGAGGGACAGCGCCCGAGCCCAGAGTTCAAGCCCCACAACTGACCAAAAAAAAACTGGGGGTCTAGAGGTTGGGGGCAGGGGGTGGTAGAGACCCTACTCTAAGTCTCTGTCTTTGCAACTTGTACCAAGGTAGAAGTGGAGGGTGGAGGAGATGGCAGAGACTGGTCCTCTGTCCAAATCCAGGTCATTCCCAGACTGCTAGGCAGCAGTTCGGTAATTAGGGGACAGCAGGACGTGGGCAGGCGGGTGGCAGTAGGCCTAATTGTCTGATTTTTCAGGTAATTAACGGGCGGCTGTCTGGCCTGCCTCACGGGGCTCAGCATCCACCCCCCCCACCGCCCTGGGCAGCTCTGGCTGTCTAATGAGACCAATTACTGAATGGGCCTATACCTCCTTACACGCTTGGAAAGGTCATAGGAGACTGGCACCAAGGGGATTGGATTTAGTCAGCCACGGCAGAGGCTGGACCTCGGGAGATTGGGGTACACAGACTGAGGGGGGGAAGGGTGGCAGTCTTTGCTGCTGCTCATTTGAGAAATAGGCCATCTGAAGGCTAGGACTTCTCACCTCTCTTCCTGTGGGGTGTGTGTGTGTGTGTGTGTGTGTGTGTGTTGGTAACTGGAACTTGAACTCAGGACCTGGGTTCTATCCCTTACCTCTTGTTTTTTTTGTTTTTTTTTTTTCTGCTTCTGGGTGGCATCCTACCACTTGATCCACAGTTCCACTTCCAGGGTTTTGGTTTGGTTTGGTTTTTTGTTTTTTGGTGGCTAATTAGAGATAAGACTTTTTTGACCAGGCTGGTTTAGAACCGTGATCCTCAGATCTCAGCCACCCGGATAGCTAGGATGACAGACATGAGCCACCCCTGCCTGGCCTCACCTCTCTTCCCAAGAGGCTAACTTTCGGTTAAATATTCTCCCTGGCCCTCGATTTCTGGGTACCAGTGGCTCACCCCGGTCATCCTAGATCCTCGGGAGGCTGAGATTGGAGGATTGCAGTTTGAGGCCAACCTAGGGAAATGAAATTCTCTGAGACTCTTATCTCCAATTAACCAGCAAAAAACTGGAAGTGCAGGTGTGGTTCAAGTGGCAGAGTGCAAGCCTTGAGTGAAACACAGCTCACAGCTGCTGGCTGCCAGTGGCTCACGCCTGTAATCCTAGCCACTCAGGAGGCTGAGATCTGAGGATCACGGTTCAAAGCCAGCCTGGGCAGCAAAGTCCATGAAACTCTGATCTCCAATGAACCACCAGAAAACCAGAAGTGGCACTGTGACTCAAGTGGTAGAGCGCTCGCCTTGAGCTGAAGAGCTGAGGGACAGCGCCCAGGCCCAGAGTTCAAGCCCAGCCCCAGGACCGCTCCTAAAATAAAAGAATCTCGCAGACTTTCCTGCTTGGGCTGACTTTGAATTGTGACCCCCTAGATCTCAGCCTCCTGAGTAGCTAGGATGCTGGGCGTGAGCCACCAGTGAGTGTCTAGCTTTCCCGCATCTTTTCCATGCTGGGCCTGGTGTAGCCAGACTTGCAAGACTGAGGTCATGGCCCCAGTGGAGAGGCTGGACTAAATAAGTCACGCAGGAATGAGGGGTCAGGGCTGCAGCGGGAGGCATTTATCACAGGCCCCTCTGTTCTCAGCTCCCACAGGGCCTAGTCACAAACCAGCCCCAGGCACCAACCCAGCAGAGCCTGGACTCAAGACCTCTCTCTCCAGCGGGGATGGACTCACCCTGTCCAACCCAGGCTGGAAGCAAGGCCTCTCGAGTTTGGCTGTGAAAATCCTTGTCACCTCCTCCAGCTGAGCTATTAATACCGGGCAGGACCCACGCACCCTTCTTGGGAGGACGCCAAGTTCCCGGGGTGGGAAGGAGGGGAGGATGGGTGGGAGAGGGGGGGTAAGAGGGGGGGGCTAAAAACAGGTCTGGGATGGGGGTGGTTAGGCTTCCTCTCTCTTTTCTTGTCAGAGTTGCTGGGGCCCAAAGCTAAGCTGGCCTGGAAAAGGGGGGGGTGCATGGGGTAGAAGATAGTAGAGAACTAGAGGCTGATTTCTGAGGGTGGAGTTTAGGGGGGACACCATGTCATTGTGAAGAGGAATTTGCAGGTGCCCCCAACCCCAGGAAAGCTTTTCGGTCCCCCATCCCGGCTTTCTCTTCCCCTGGGATCTGGATGGGTCACCATGTTGCAGTGGGAAGAAGCAATCGGGGGTGGGGGCTGGGAGTGTGGCTCAGTGGTAGAGTGCTCGCCTAGCATGCATGAAGCCCTGGGTTCGATTCCTCAGTACCATAGACATAGAAAAAGCTGGAAGTGGTGTTGTGGCTCACGTGGTAGAGTGTTAGCCTTGAGCAAAAAAAGAAGCTCAGGGACAGTGCCCAGGCCCTGAGTTCAAGCCCCACATTGGCACCAAAATAAAGAGCCAGACACTGGTCGCTCACGCTTGTCATCCTAGCAACTCAAGAGGCTGAGATCTGAGGATTGTGGTTTTAAGCCAGCCCAAGCAGGAAAATCCAGGGGACTCATCTCCAATTAACTATAGAAAGAAGGAAAGAAAGGAAGGAAGAAAGGAAGGAAGGAAGGAAGGAAGGAAGCCGTAAGTGGAGCTGTGGCTCAAGTGGTAGAGCACTAGTCTTAAGCCAAACAACAACAACAACAAAGCCCAGAGATAGTGTATAGGCCCTGGGTTCAAGCACACACCTGCGCACACATACATACACACAGACACTTGTGCATGCACACACACTCCAAAAAGAGATGCCCTGATGTGTTGGGCGGACATAAAACCAAATGCTTCCATCAAAATCCCCTGGTTGTTGACATAGGCCTGCTGGACCTACTGAGTCACCAGTAACCCAGGCCCTGGATTGGTCCCCTGCACAGGTTGAAGCTCCGCCCCCTAGAACCAGAGCCACCACTCCTGTGACTTGTGGGCGTGTCTCCCTGTTGGACTTCTGGGCTCAAGGCCACACCTAGCCACCTGCTCCCAGCTGGGTCCCCTTCTTTCCATTGACAGATGCTCTCAAGGTCCAGACACGGACCCCCAGAAGAGTGTGATGACTTGGCCAGGAGATTCCAGACGAGAAAGTGGCTGAGAGACCTACCCTCCTCCACCCGCACCGGAAATCCCAACAGCTGTCTGTCTGGCTAACAGGCCCTGGGCACTGAGCCCTGACCCAGGGCAGCCAGCCAGGGGCGTGGGGGGGGAGGGGCTCCCCCGTGTCAGGTATCTAGAAAACTTGGGGGGAGCCAAGGGCAGTCTGCCTGTGGTTAGCAAGCTGTCAACACTTCCCTACTGCCAGGGTGCAGCCAGGGCTGGGGGAAGGGTCCTGCCCTGACCTAGAAGATCTGGGGTGGAGGAGAGGAGGGATGAATGGGAGGTAGACTCGTGTGTGTGTGTGTGTGTGTGTGTGTGTGTGTGTGTGTTTGTGTCCTGGGATTTGAACTCAGGGCCTGGATGTTGTCCCTGAGCTTATTTTTTCCCCCCCTCAAGTACTCTACCACTTGGAGCCACAGTTCCACTTTTGCTGGCTCATTGGCAATAAAGAGTTTCCTGGAGGCTGGGAAGGTGGCTCAGTGGTAGAGTGCTTGCCTAGCGTACATGAAGCCCTAGGTTCGATTCCTCAGTACCACAGATACAGAAAAAGCCAAAAGTGGCTCTGTGGCTCAAGTGGTAGAGTGCTAGCTTTGAGTAGAAGAAGCTCAGGGACAGTGCCCAGGCCCTAAGTTTTGAGTTCAAGCTCCAGGACTTGAAAAAAAAAAAAAAAAAGACCTTTCCCTGGCTGACTTTGAACGGTGATCCTCAGATCTCAGCCTCCTGAGTAGCTAGAATGACAGGCGTGAGCCACCGGCGCCAGGCCTGCCCCTTCCATGTTGTTCCAGAAGCTTTGCTTTTGGCCACCTGCTCAAGTATCTGCTCCAACCTCTGCTCACTAGACTTGGGAAAAGCTCTCCCGTGATGCTTTGATCTCTGTTCTGGGCCCTCTCAGGGTTGCTGGTGTGATTTCCAGGAGACAGGTAAGAGAAGAGACAAAACTGAGAGCCAGCCGGGTGTGGTAGCTCACGCCTGTCATCCTAGCTACTCAGGAGGCCGAGATCTGAGGATCGTGGTTCAAAGCCAGCCCAGGCAGGAAAGGCCATGAGACTCTTATCTCCAATGAACCACCAGAAAACCAGAAGTGGTGCTGTGGCTCAAGTAGTAGAGCATTTGCCTTGAGTTGAAGAGCTCAGGGACAGAATTCAAGCCCCACAACCCACAAACAAATACCCCCCCCCCCAAAAAAAAAAAAAACCTTAAAACTGAGAGCCATATCAACCATCCAAGGACTTCCTTTGCTCAGACCACTGATTAGCTATGTGGTCCTGGATGACTCCAAGCCTCAGTTTCCCCTTTTACAGAGAGAGCAAAGAGGGGGAGAGAGGATCGCTGTCCACACCCATGGCAGAAACTGGCTTGGGGGACCCAGCTTATGGTAGCACTCAGTAAGGCTGTCTGATCTATAGAGCCCCAATGTGGGGGCTGATCTTAGCATCTGCCTAGCCCCATGTGTACCCCACAAATCACTCCTTCCTGAGCTCTAGTGAGAACACTAACTCTCACACCTGAGCCCTGCCACTCCTCAAAGCCCATTTGAATTGTACACAGGGATGTTCACCAAATTAAATACTAATGGCTTGGGAATATCTCTATCTATATAGATCGAGGTAGATAGATATATTAAGAAAAGTTTTTTTTTCCCTCTTCGAGGGGAAAACACGCAGGAGCTATAATTAGCTAGGAAGAGGAAAGCAGAATGGAGCGTGTGAATCACCAGCCCCAGCGATAGACAGATGGATAAAGCAAAGCAGAAGTTTCTACCATCCCTGGTGTGTGGGAGGTTTGGGGGGGGGCCGAGGTGTGGGGGGGGGTGTTGTCCTGAAAGGTGGAGGGAAGCTCTGGACCCTAGGCAGAGTACACGGACCCTTTTGGTATAATCTTCTCTCTTTTTTTTTTTTGTTTTTTTTGTCGGTGGTGGGGCTTGAACTCTGGGCCTGGGCGCTGTCCCTCAGCATTTCAGCTCCAGGCGAGTGCTCTACCCCTTGAGCCACAGCGCCAGTTCCTGTTTTTCTGAGTGGTTCATTGGAGATAAGAGTTTCACAGACTTTGCTGCCCAGGCTGGCTTTGAACCGTGATCCTCAAATCTCAGCCTCCTGAGTAGCTAGGATGACAGGCGTGAGTCACGGGTACCAGGCTTGGTGTCATCTTCTTTTGCCATGTGGAGACTGTCACCCAACATTCCATCAGGGTCTTTTTTGAGGGTATAAACACCCCAGTATATGAGCCAGTCATCGGGAGCTTGAACTCAGGGCCTGGAAACTGTCCTTTAGTTGTTTTTTGTTTGTTTGTTTGTTTATTTTTAAGCCTGGCATTCTATCACTTGAACCCTATCCCGGCTTCCAGCCTTTAAGCCCATTTGCCTCCCTTCACTGTGAATGCCTGTGGTGATGGCCGGGTGTGGTAGTACATTCCTGTAATCCCAGAACTCAGAAGGCACAGATAGAAAGATGAGTCCAAGGCCAACTTGGGCCTGGAGATTTTTAAATTTTTTTTTTAAAGGCTGGAAACAGCATGATCGTGACCTTTATTAAATAACTCTACGACAGAGACCGTGTGTCTGGGCTCAGAAATTAGGGGGGGGGGGTGGATCGAGAGGGAAGGCAAGGGGGTAGGGGGTCTAGTGAGTGAAATCTTTTTCCATCACCCATTTAGCCTGGGTTTCCCATGAGTACCAGAAAGGGAGAGTTTGCCATTTGGGGGGCACTTAAGACCGGGTCTACTGATGGCTTTGGGTATTGAAGACCTCTCTATTGGGTCTCTGCGGTGTCTGGGGTCCATGGATCCAATCAAATCTGGGCTAGGCAGCCATTGGTCAAGACAGCTTTTCCTCCTCTCCTCTTTAAGGCTGAGCACTGGCTGCCGGGCTTTTCAGGGATCCTAGTCCAGGCCTTCCTTAAAGGATAATCCTGGAGTAGTGCGTTGCCTGGGATTGAGACCAGAGACCCTCATCCAGGGCCCCCGGGGAAGGCGGCTGTCTCTGGCCCAAAGCTCCTTCTATTTCCTTAACCCCCTCCCCCCCCGCACCCCCCCCCCCCCCCCCACCAAATTAGCCTGCCAAATCCCAGGCTGCACTTCCTCCCAGGGGAAGAATTAAGCGGGAGAGCCTCTGCTCAGTTCTCTTCTGTCTCCTACTTCCCGGCTCAGCCTGCCCCTCTCCCCAATCACCACCACAGGCCCACACCTGTCACCCTAGCTACTCAGGAGGCTGAGATCTGAGGATCACGGTTCAAAGCCAGCCCAGGCAGGAACGTCCATGAGACTCTGCTCTCCAATGAACCACCAGCAAACCGGAAGTGGAGCCATGGCTTAACGTGGTAGAGCACTAGCCTTGATGAGAAAAACTTAGGGACAGCACCTAGTCCCTGAATTCAAGCCCCATGACCAGAAAGAAAAAGAAAAAGAAAAGAAAAAGTTAAGGGATAATGCCCAGGCCCTGAGTTCAAGTCCTAGTACTAACACAAATAAATAGACTTCCTTTTTCTTTTTCTTTCATTGGCCAGGAGACTTGAACTCTGGGCCTGTGCTCTGTCCCTAAACTCTTCAGCTCAACGCTCTACCACGTGAGCCACAGCGCCACTTCCAGCTTTTTCTGCTTATGAGGTGCTGAGGAATCGAACCCAGGGCTTCAGGCATGCAAGGCAAGCACTCTACCACTGAGCCACCTTCCCAGCCCCTGGCACTAGTATTTTTATAAACATATATACACACACAGCCGGTTTCCTGTGCACTTGGCCTTGTATGTATCTTGTATGTGCTGTCTGGCCTTGGCCCATGTGGCAGTACGAGGTGCTAGACAGACAGAAGCAAGGCCGGACAGACAGGCAGGGCGCTGAGCGCCGGGCTCAGCATGTAATGGCCACCCCCATGGTGTTATGTGTCTGGCCCTTTAGACAAGAATTAGACACACCCAGATCCAATCTCTGACCTTGGAAGTTCAAGGTCTAGACACAGACAACCAGGCCTAGTAAAGAATTCCTGTCCTTCACTATAGCAGCCAGCAAGATCCTTCCCACCCTCCCTCCCCCCCTTCCATGTCACCCATCCAGCCCTCCTCCACCTCCACTCCCTCCCTCTCAGGTTTTGATGGTCCCTCTGGCTATCTGGTGTTTACCCAGGATTTTGTCTCTGCCAGGAACATGTTCTTTTTTTTTTTGTCAGTCCCAGGGCTTGAACTCTGGGCCTGGGCGCTGTCCCTCCGCTCTTCAGCTCAAGACGAGCGCGCTACCACTTGAGCCACAGTGCCACTTCGGGTTTTCTGTTGGTTTATAGGAGATAAGAGTCTCACAGACTTTGAACTATGATCCTCAGATCTCAGCCTCCTCAGTAGCTAGGATGACAGGCGTGAGCCCCTGGCACCCAGCCTGCTCTCCACTTTAGATCGGGGACCCCCAAGGGCCTTAAGCAGCAAGATGGATGCTAGCGTGGGACAGAAGGCCTTTCGGGAACCCGAGTCCCTGTCCCTAGGTCCAAGGCCCTAGGATCTTGCATCTCCATGCTGACGTGAGCAGACCCAGGGCTTTACAGAGCTATTCCTGGACAGATCGCCAAGCCCTGAAGGACACGTTGACAACCCCCCTACCCCCCCATCCCAGCAGGACACAGGGCCATTTATCAGGGAGATAAGCAGAGGGCAGGCTGGTGAAGGAGCTGTCTGCGGGAGATAACTTGGGATCATTCAGAGGGCACCCGAAGGAATAGCACCCACCCACCCCTGCCCCATAGATACGCTGTCCCTAGGCCTACTGGCCACAGACATAGCCCTAGCTACCCAGCAATCAGCACTGTCTATGGGATACGGGGCCACTGGTAGAGTGGAATTAACCAGATTATAGATCCAGAATCCTTGGAATGATTTTTTTGTTTTGTTCTGTTTTTTTTGTTTGTGGGTCCTGGGGCTTGAACTCTGGGCCTGGGCACTGTCCCTCAGCTCTTCAGCTCAAGGCAAGCGCTCTACCACTAGAGCCACAGCACCACTTCCAGCTTTTTTCTTTTTGCTTATGTGGTGCTGAGGAATCAAACCCAGGGCCTCAGGCATGCAAGGCAAGCGCTCTACCACTGAGCCACCTTGCCAGCCCATCCTTGAGTTTCTTTTGCTCAAGGCTAGCTCTCTACCACTTGAATCACAGCGCCACTTCTGGCTTTTTCTGTGTCTGTGGTACTAAGGAATCGAACCTAGGTCTTCCTGCATGCTAGGCCAGCACTCTACCACTGAGCCACCTTCCCAGGCCAATGCCTGGCTTCTTCTAAAGGGACTTTATAGGGGCCTGAGACACAGCACCTAGCTGCCCCTTGAACCAGAAGCCAGGCTCAGGTTCCTGTACAGCAAAGCCCCACCGTTAGGAATGGATGAAGGCCTAGCTCCCTGTGCTGAGAGAAGGAACAAGTCACATGACCCTCCTGACCACATGACAGTCATCAAAGCTTCAGAAATAACCTCTCCTTCTATTCTGCCCTGGCCCAGACACTGACTGACTGAGCTCTGCTTTCCTACAGCACTCGCTCTGGTTTAATTAATTCTGGTGACCCCCTGAGGTTTGGACAATTATTAATCCCGGTTGTACACGGAGGCCCGTGGGAGCTAAATCCCTCACCAGCCTTTCAGAGCCTTGCTAATCCCCGAGCCTAGAGTATGCCCTAGGCCAGGCTGATGCACTCCAGGGCGATTTCTCCCTTGCTCTCGGTGCACCTCTGGCCAGGAGCTTTGTTCTAGAAGAATCCTGGCACCGGTGGCTCATGCCTAGTCATCCGAGCTACTCAGGAGGCTGAGATCTGAGGATCGTGGTTCAAAGCCAGCCTAGGTAGGAAACTCTGTGAGACTCTGATCTCCAATAAACCACTCAGAAAACCAGAAGTGGCGCTGTGGCTCAAGTGGTACAGTGCCAGCCTTGGGCTGAAGAGCTGAGGGACAGGGCTCAGGCCCAGAGTTCCAGCCCCATGACCAACAACAACAACAACAACAAAAAGAATCCTGAGTGGTGGCTGTCTGGGAAAATTGTAATTGTCCACCAAAGTGACTCTTTACCAGAGCCCCAACAAGGCCCGGCTTGCACCCTGGTTTTGGAAACCACCAAAGCCCCACACTGGGGGAGAAGCCATTATAGCCAATAAAGCATCAAGTACATTTGTGTCTCAGCATTTCTAGGTGTCAGCCAGGCGCCGGTGGCTCACACCTGGCATCCTCGCTACTCAGGAGGCTGAGAGCTGAGGATCTCGGTTCCAAGCCATCCTGGATAGAAAAAAAAAATCTCTGCGTCTACTCTGCAGTGACTCCCCAAAAAGCTGAAATGGAGGTGTGGCTCAGGCGGTAGAGGAGCTGATACTCTACCCCTTGAGCCACACAGCTCCACTTCCGAATGATCTCTTGTCCTTCAGGTTTGGGGAAGAGCTGGGCTAGGCTGGCCCTTGGCTTGAGGTTTGCCCCCCCCCCCCGTCCGCCTCAGATCAGAGTTGGGGTTTGGAATCTCTAGGGTTAAATCACAAAGGCTGAATCTGTGTATAGGATATGGCTGGGGGGGGGGGGGGGCGGGCAAGAAGTACATTCATGCTCATGACTTTCTAGGATCCTGTCCAGCTGTCCAGCTGTCCAGCGTGTGTGTGTATGTGTGTGTGTGTGTGTGTGTGTCCAGCTAGAGAAGCAGTTGTGGGTCTTTTTCTTCTGGCTCGAGAGGGAGGAGGAGGAAGGGAATTGGAAGGGGAGACAGAAGCAGCACCAAATATCTCAGAGAGAGGCTGGGAAGGTGGCTCAGTGGTAGAGTGCTTGCCTCTCATGCATGAAGCCCTGGGTTCGATTCCTCAGCACCACTAAGCAGA